CTAACTACTACTACTACTACTACTACTACTACTACTACTACTACTACTACTACTACTACTACTACTACTACGACTACTACTGCTACTGCTACTAAGTACTACTACTAGGGTTCCGCGCCTCCTAGCGCCTGGTAGTTTTGAGTTGCCGGGTGTCTAAAAAATGCTGGGCTATCATATGATTTAGAACTTGTAGTTAAGCCAGCTTCAAACGAATTACTTGCTCGGGCTTATGATGATGCTGAGTATGAGGATTATGAGGACGATGATGAACATGGTCAGGTTAACGATGATGTTGAAGATGGCGAGGATGATGGTTATGAAGATGATCAAGTTAGCCATGATCAAGTTAACGATGATGCTACTGCTACTGCTGCTACTGCTGCAGCTGCTGCTGCTGGTGTTAGTGCTGCTACTGCTACTGCTACTGCCGCTACTGCTACTGCTGCTGCTACTGCTGCTACTGGCTGTACCGCTGCTGCTACTGCTGCCAGTGTTTGCGGTCAACCATGTCGTTAACAACCCACCACCCCTCCCCCCCCCCCCACATTCACCCACCCCCACCACAAACAGAGGTTAACACCAGGCGCCTGGAGCTACCACTGCTACTACTGCTGCTGCTGCTACTACTACTACCAGTACCTGTGCCACTGCTGCTGCCAGTGCTCCTACCGCTGCTACTGCGACCACTGCCACTACTGCGTCGCGTCTACTCCGACTACTACGATGATGAAGACGATGACGGCTACTACTACGACCTGCTGTTGATATATGCCCTGGCGCCAGCCGCCACCTGAGGCCCACCATTACTATCACTACCAAAACAACCAAATGCAACACCAATCTCGGCAGTAGGCCTAGGAATTTAATAGTTGGCACGCCCAGCCTTGACCCGGCAAACCTCCGGGGAAGAACACCGCCAAGGTGGCGACACCTCGCAAGATCTCCAGCGCCTCGGAGCCGGACGATATGTTTGTGCCGTGTTGATGCCCCAATCACGGCCCACTGTATCGGCTCATCCCTGGAAGTCGGACGGCTGGCATCCCGAAGCCGCTACTGCTTAAGTTTGCGGCTGTACTACCACGGTCGCAGTTACGGTGCAGTGCTAGCTACGGCAGCCACGAGCATAGCCACCCTTATTTTATTAGTAATTAAGCACCAGGGAGTTATGTTAAACAAGCATATGGGCCAAAACGGTTAATTTTGATGACAACATCAACAGATATCAACAAATCCACAGCAAGAACCGCCGAACGAATAACACTGTTGCTCGGAGGCATATGCAAGGGCAAGCGTATTGGTGTCGAAAGGCAGAATAGCCAGGAGCCATACCGTACACCGCCAGTGTTCCTGTGAATCTGATTGCCCCAGTCACTGTTTCCCCAAAGGCTTTCGGACATGCAAGTGATTTGACATCGAGAGGGGCAAGGTTCTGAACTCTTGGCATGTAAAGTGATTATGCTCTCAGCTTGAAGACGATTGAGAGGAAACACAGCAGCCGCCACATGAGCTGTTGCCAGGAATACTGCATACTGCATGGCAGGGATTGCCCTACCATCATGCGGACCATGATATGTGCGCCAGTAAAACGACGCCATGTTCAAGTCTATAAACATTGCGAGCGTAGTTCCTCAAAGGCTGAGAGCACCACGGCGACCACCAGGACCACCGGGAGAACAACAGCCCACCAGCAAACCACAGGAGACCACCAGGACACAGTGGCCGAACTGCTTCCCTTGAGAACTGGTCGGATTCAGTTGCACGATCACATATTGTTCCCCGAAGTGCGAATCGAATTCAGCACGAAGACTTTCCCCCCAGTACTGGTGTGATTCACAAGGACGGCCAGTGACAGAAATGTTCGAGGCCAAACGGCGGGCAATGTCAATTAACTCGAAAGGAGACGGTTTCCTGTTCATCTCGTGTAATCATTTTGGGGCGTGCGTGAAAATGCGATCTATGCCATGGTGGTCCCTTGAAACATCTTTTCCGCTGCGCGCCGTGCGCCTGTACTCACCAAATCTCTGAACCTCTTAATCCCGTAGCTTGCACCACATTGCTTGGGGAGTAATGAAAAAACGTTGAAGGACGCTTCGCGGAGCATCTTGGTGTGCTTCTCGCCTGGATAAGTGCACAGAAACCCTCTACCCCCCCAAAACATGTTCAGAGCACTGCACGGTGCTGCAAGCGAAATCCAAATCCCTCAGAACGGCGAGATTTCGAGACGTCCACAAAGAGCCCCGCAAAGCCGAATAGTGCCAAAATGAGCACGGGACGGGACAGACTGGAGGGAGCCCAGAAAACAGGACATAAGCCTTAAAACCCTCTTACACCCCATCACAGAAGGAGCAACCTTAATTTCAGGAGCCCCCTGAATTCTAAGCCTCTCACCTTTGACGGCCGACCCGAGGTAGCCTCGGCGAATGCCATGCCTGGCTCTCTCGCACAACGCAAGGAAGGGCAAGGCTCGCATTGGCTAGGGTTTTATCACTTTAATAGGGCAGGTCTAGGTCTAGGGTTTATGGCTTTCAGCGGGCTTTTGGGGATGTTGAAAGGTTCTGATTTCGCCGCAGGGAAGAACTTTAGGATTGCTTCTGGAAGGATTTTGAAGTTTCCCAAGAGCTCAGAGCTGCTGATGGCAGTGCCACAGGGCGTCGGCTGCCGCCCAGTGCAAGTCAAACTCTGGATCCTGATTTCCTCCGCTCCGTTGGTAAGCAAAGTCCAAACCAAGAGCACTTTGACTCTCTGTGGCTTGGCTCCTCAGGGAATCGAAGCCGAACAGGTGGAGAACTCTACCGGCTATAGTCCTTAGGGTTAGAAATTAGGAAATGGAAAAATCGTTTCACGAGATCTGCCGGCTTCTGGCTCCGCACTACGCGTCATATGCTATAGTCGCTCGTCAGCATAGTGTAGGGGCTCACTTGGTGACACAGCCTCGTCTGGACTGTTCCCCTGGCCGGTTTCCTGTCTTTTGGCAGGCTGTTCAGGAATGCATATCCTGTGAAATAACCAAAGCTGACTGCTTCAAAGCCAGTTGGGCCCTGCATGGACTCTTTGCATTTGATTCTCTGCACTGTACGACATATCATATCGAAAAACAGTGAGTCAGTAACACTGTGTCACACCAGCGCACAATGACTAGAATCGAAGGTCATCGACCCTGTCCTGGCGTCGATCACTGAAGCTAGTAAAGCCTCTTATCCGAAGCCGATGGCTGGCTCCTGGACTCCATCCAGTCGCATCGGCCTGTAGTCCCAGTGCAGCTCGGGCAATCAATTTGTGGCAGACTTTTCTGGCTAGGCAGCACGACGACAGAGTGGGCTTACGGGATGTTGTGGTCGTCGCCCACAAACGATGCAAAGGTTGCAATATACGAGTACTTCCGTGAGCACCAGCTGCTGTCGAGTTGAGGGGACAGGATAGTTGGGTTCGCACTTCAATCCCAGGAGCTCACGGAAGGCTACCGGCCGCGCTATTCGCAACCGCTGGGTGGGGATGGGTGGGGGCGAGGATTTGGTGGAGGACTCACATCTGGAACTCGAAGGAGCTTCTTGACAAACTGCGAAATTGTGCACAGCTGTCAAGTCAAAGGCTGGACACGACCTGAGCACTTTGCAATCGTGTAGGCCGGGATTGGGCCCATGGACTTCGTTCTGTTGGGCTATGGCAGTGTCATTGCTGTTGGGGCTATGCTTGCATCGGAAGGCCGGTGTGTCGTGCAGCATATTTCCCTCACAGCTTTGTAAACGCCTTCTCCCGGATGCCTGCTAAAGCATCACAGAACCCTCAAATTCCAGCTTCACCACCTTGCCAATAGCATGGACGATTGAGCCCTCGGACTAATCATCCCCATTCGGAGCACAAGAAATCGAGGTTTCGTGCAAGGCTCTCAATCTTCCAATCAGAGAAGAATCCATCTGACGCCGAGCTATGTCGTACTGTGCAGCTGTATAAGGGCTCCTAAATCAGGCAATGCGGCTTTAGAGCCGCTCCGCAACCTATCAAAGCAGCTTTAAAGAACGAGTAGCAGCAACCATATCAAGTGTCATCACATCGAGTCATGCAGCATGTGCGGATCTATGCCTCTACTGGACATGTCTCTGGACATGAAACTAGGGGAGTCGCGGGTGCCAATACTTGCACCCGGATAGTTCAAGGCTCTATGTGGAGAGTAAGCTGTGTAAACTCCATGTGGAAACACTTGGCAACTTGGCCCAGTGATTACAATGCCAAGGGCTCGCCTCTTCCCCCTCATCCTCCGACTCAACCGACATGATCACCTCGTCGCGTCCAAGCTGGTCAGACGGCACAGCCTCCTCTTGAAGCGGGCGCCCGAGCACGAAGAGCATGTCCGTGGGCAGCAGCACCAGGTCCTTAGGAGGGTTAGTGATCACGAAGGGGAGGCGGTTTGACATCTGGTCCCCCTTGTCATCCTCCATGAAGGTCTGGCTAACTCCATAGTGCGGGGATCGGAAGTCCAGTTCCTGTGCTGCCTCCAGGCTCACCAACATAGAATACGAAGAGCGATTGCCGTTTGGATAGCGGAAGATACCCAAGGGAAGCATCGGCTGGCTGTGCGAGATGAGCATGTTCGCCGCTTCCCCAAAGGTACTGCAGGAGCAGATCATCTTTGCAGTTGCAGGCATTTGGAAAACGCAGGGCTGGTTGGCCAAGCTGGGGCTGCCGAGCCCATGATGCACCTTGGAGCCCACGGTGAGCCCAGCAAGGCCAAAGAGGCGTTCAACGATGACCATGGCATCTGGGTTGAAATAACTCTCCATCAGGAACCGGTCGACCGTCGTAGTTGCGATTATGTGCCCGGCTGCAAAGAGTGGCGACATGTTCAGCGGTGCTGATGCCATCCAACGATCCTCAAAAAGCGAGGTGGCGCCCTGCGCCTCAGGGTTCATACCGAAGAAGCGGTTCAGGGAGCCCTCCTGAAACATCTGCGTCACCGTCCAGACATCTCGCAATTCGTCGCCTGGGATAAACTTCCGCGTGGCGATGATGTTGGTTGTGAGAATGGTGTCCGAGTCTACCATGCGTCGGAGCTCCCAACCCTGCACTGGTGCCTTAGCGACATCCTTGTCAACCTTGGGCAGGATCACCACGGCCTTGGCGCGCTCCAGGTGGGCGCCGCGCAGATCCTTTTGATTGTGCACGAGCTCCTTGGCAAAGTAAACCGTGTCCAGCGAAATGTGCTGCCAGATCTCGGGGCTCCGCTCCTCGTGGGATGCCATGCTCAATACGACGATCTCTGTCACTGGATCCCGGACGAGCAGCATTTGCACAGTGAGAGCAATGGACTTCTCGTCACCCCCGAAGATGACGATGTGCCCCCGGATCTCATTGAGGTAATCTGCAGCTGATTGCAGTCCCATGTCCATGAAAGAGGAGCTCAACAGCTTGGACATGTGCTCCTGACCCTGGTCTTCAAGAGATTGGGCTTGGAACTCCCGGCGCACACCCAGCGAAGCGAGATCCTTCTCCAATTCCCGCAGATCCCCACCGTAGTCCAACAGCAGCGATGCCAGCCGCTGCAAGCGCAGCGCCTGGATGTCCATGGCCTTCGTGTTGGTACCCGTTTTTTGATGCTGCATCGGCGGACTGAAAGAGCGCTCCGACGGCCAGGAGGCCACCCGGCCGAAGCTTTGGCTGTGAAGGCTCAGCACCCGGTCAAACTTCTCGTCCGCGCGCGATGCAGCTGCGGAAGTCTCCTCGCTCTGGATCCGTTCGAGCTCCCTGAAATTGAAGCCCTTGGATGCCTTCAGGTCCTTCATGTGGAGCTTCACTGGGCTGGTGTCCAGATCAAAGCTCCCAACTCCCGCCTGCTCGTCCTTGGCATCATAGAACTCCCCGGGCCACCTCAGCTTCCACCAATAGCCCCGCAAACGAGTCGAGAGCCCGCCTGACATGGTCCAGTGCTCGGAATGCGCCTTCAACCGCGAAAGGAAGTCCGGGTTGCTGTCTTCCTCCCATGTGTGCTGCTCGCCATCACCCTTCCTGACAAGGGTGGCGGCCTGCCCGGTCTCGCGAGAGTCCTCACCCTTGCTGCTGCGGCCACCGGCGGAGGGTCGCAGCATAGGCCGTTCCGGGCTCCGGCCACGCTTAATGGCCACCACGGCCTCAGGAAGGCTGCTTGCAATGACGTAGACACGGTCGCCGTCCTGGAGGATTGTGTCCTGTCCGCTCGGAAAGAGGAGCAGCCGGCGCTTCCTGTGTTTGGAGAAGGCGCTGCCTGGTGTTTCGCTGCCTCCACGAGACTGACGCTTCACGGCGATGAGCAAGATACCATGGTTCTCGTAGAGGTGGTAAGCAGCTTCCACGAGATTGAGACCGTGGACTCCACTCTTGGACGTGATGCTGCAATGGTATATCTCCTGGCGGGAGCCTTTGTGGTAAAGGTCGAACCATTGCTCTGTGTTTGTATCGTAGGCGTGGCTGGTGGTGTGACTCACCAGGTTCAGAACCATCGTCGAGAGACCCCGGTGAAGTGCCGATCCAGCGACCATCGCCGCGGTCAGCTCCCCGATCACGAGGCAGAGGTCATGGAGCCTGTCCCAGCCAGGCATGTTTACGATGCGGTCCCGGGTCTCTGCAGACAACACCTGCGCCAGAAGTCGAAGTCTTCGCCGGCCTTCGAACGTCTTCTGGCGGTGCAGCTGCGCGTTCTTGAAGGCCTTGCAGGCTAGCACGATGGATGCAACCTGTGTGTCTTCCCACTGGGGGTCCTGGGGATACTTGCAGGCCAAGACCAAGACCGCCATGGCTTCGTGGACCTTGGCTCGAAAAAGGTCCTTCTCCACTTGCGAAGAGCCCTGGATGTATTGCACGTGCCCGGTGTACGCAGGGTGACCCAGTAAATCCAATACCTGGTGATCGGCTTCGTTGGGTGACAGGATCACGATGTCGCAAGGCCGTGCAGGCCCACGATCCGGGTGATATGCCTCGTACAGGAGAAGGTTGAGCACGGGAAACTCGATGTGGCCCATAATCACAATGTGTGCATCGCTCATGCGCCTATACCTTGTTCTTCGGGCCCAGGGATCTCGCTGGAGAGCCTTCAAAATCGATGCCGCTTGCCAAGGGATGATGATGAAGGCCACCGTCACCACCAAGATCAGCAGCAAGTGTCCTCCCGGGCTCTCAGGCTCAATTCGAGGTCGCCCCAGGATTTCGATGGTCGTGAAATAGAAGGCTTCGTGGAACGGGACGCTAGAAGCTTGCTCTGGCAAGACCTTCATGTCGTTCTCAACGAGCTGGTAGAAGCCGGCCGCAGTAAAAATTAGGCAGAAGAGGCCAAAAGCAAGCATGGCGACCTCGCGGCTGACATCCTCGGGTCGATTTCGCAAAAAGCGGAAGGATCGCAGAATCCGGAAGAGCTTGGTGATGCGCACCACGCGTAGCACCACGGAAGTGTCGTGGTCGATGC